CTAACCAGTGAGGAGAGCCCTGGGGGAAGGTGCACTTCAGATCTTTCTCCTGTGCTAGATGCCTTATTGATGCCATTATGGGATAAACTGCGCTTTAGATTGTTAAATACACAATAGTAATCATTTTCCTGATTACTCTAATTCCTGGACAGAGCATGGGTGCGTGAAATGCATGAATGGCTACCGGGCAGATGTGGGCATTCGAAAATGGCATATTGCTCTCATGTGCAGCCCTACGAACAGATGTGCCCACTTTGGGAGGTGGGAGAGGGAAGTCTCACCCCAGGACCAGGATCCTCTGATACCCAGTTTCGAACACTAGTGGGCAGTAGCTATCTGAAGACTCGAAATGTTTCACTATCTTGTCAATGACAAGAGCGGAAGTATAGGAAACAAGTGCCTAGGTGGAAACGTCTTTCAGAGCATCTTTAAAACCTGGGAAAGTGGGGAGTGTGGGGTGGGCCCGGGAGGGGGGGCGGCAGTAAGGTGATTTCTCCTGTGAACTGAAGTCTTTACCCTTCTCGTCGTAAACTTTTTTTCCTTCTTCCAGGCCCCCACAGCCACGTGCACCGACTGCCTTTACTGTAAAGACGAGGTGAGTAAGCGGTCAGTGCTGCTGGCTTTCTCCAGAGAGACGCCAGGCATTCCAGGGAGGGGGTACCCTGCGGTGTGTAGAACGCCAGGCGGTGGCTGGGCTCCCAAGGCGACGCTGTCCGAGTAGGGACGACTTGTCTGCCGAAACCTCTGGGCGGGTGCCCAGCTTGGGACGCCACTTCTGTTCCAATTGAGAGCGATAAAGTCTCTCTCGCGACTGAGCGGGATTCCGGAAGAGGCTACTTTGTATCCCACCTCCCCCGAGGGAAGGCAAATCGGGAACCGGGATCAGGGCATGACGTCAGTGGCACCCCCCCACACACACTCCGGGGGTGCGGTGCCTCCGCGCACGGCGCCGCCTCTTAGCAGTCGCCCGGGTCCCGAGTCTGGGGCGGAGCGAGTGGCTGCGCGGTTCCTCTCTCCGGCAGCGTCCTCTGCTACCCTCACGACCCCCCTCCTTCCCCTCCATCGTGGGGGTCTTTCAACCTCTCCTTACCGGAGACTCTTTCCGCTGTCTCCCATTTGTTGTGTCCCCCATTCCTTCCCCAACCCCACCTCCGCAGTCCCTTTCACTCATTTCTTATCAACTCTCTTTTTTTTTCCCCTCTTTCTGTCCCCGACCCCCGCCGTTTTCTCCTTTTCTGGTAAACTTCGCCGCCTTTGAGCAGCCGGATTGCCTCGCTAAAATCGAGCGCCTTACCTTATATCCCAACGACGGCTGCAAGTCACTCGCCGACGAATTGTTTGCAGTAAAAACTAATGAAACGCTCACTCTCCGGTGTCCAGGCTACTCCGGGATTCAGGTAAGTTGATGCAACGCGCTCTCGCTTTTTAATATCTTGGAGCTAACCTTGAATCAAAGTGGGGTTTTCTGGCAGTGCAGAAGTCCTCCTTGTGATTTGTATTCAGGTTCTATCTTTTGAAGAGCAAATTAGCCGGGTGAACGCGGTAGATTGTCAATTAGTCCCGCGTTGATACCTCTACCCAAACCCACCTATTTCGAGGGTTCTTTTCGCAGAATTATTCTTCTAAACCTTAGTCCAGTGTTTCAAGATATGATCAGTGAGCCTCCTACGTCAGAAAGTCCTGGCTGCCTGAGCATGGGAGGGCGATTTAGCCAAAATGCCAATTCCTAGGGACCGAATCTAGACCTTCAAAATTACAATCCCTGTTTATGGGCTCTCTTCTTGAGATTCTTATCCATTCTAAAATTTGAACAACNTGCATGAAGACTAGGCTCCTTTAAATATTCAGGACAGTTAAAAGAAGAGAAGGAAAGAGGTAAATTTAAAGGGGCGGGAGTGAGGGGGTGGAGGGAGGGCGTGGAAGGAAGAATAAAGAAATGCAAAAAAGAAAGTGAACCACTATTTAAAAAGACATAAAAATATTAAGGAAATAAAGGAATGACAGATCTATCCAGTTAGGGTAGGAGAAAAGAGAGTTGTATGGCAGGTCATTTTTCTGGCCCATTGCATGAGCGAGAGTATTGCCTAAGCTCTCTGAGTAATCACAGAGCGATACAAGTGATCTCACTTTTGTTTCCTATCACAAGGAAGGCATCATTCTGAATTAACCTAGTATTTCCCAAACTACACATCTAGATACTGTTCACATCTTTAGCATTTGAACAAATGAAAAGGTAAAACAGGAAGCTCTTCAACCCATCAGTCATTTTCAGAGATGCCCTTACCTGAACAGTTGCTCCATATAAGGTATAAGTGGATTGCAGGAGGATAGCAGCAAAAAGCTAGAAAAGGATATCTTTATAGAGAGATTCTTTCAATAGGAAATGCTTTGCTACCTGACAATGATCTTGAAAGAAAGTTAACCTACTTCAACAGATTGAGGATTTACTGAGTATCTATTATATCACATGTAGCACATGGTGGCTATGACGATAACCACAGTTTTAAGAAAAATTGGCTTCCTCTAATGAACTTGTAGAGTTCATCATATTCTATCCTTTGCAATTATTGTTTGGAAGATCAGAACTCACTTTTGAGCTTATCTTAATTCTCCAGGTCTTAATAATGCTTTTCTATGGCATTCCTTATAATGATACTCACCTCCTTTATTTCTTGTCCTTTATTTTGCCTCATCTTGCCTTTTTTTATTTTATTCTTCTGGCACTAATGAAATTATTGCAAGTCACTTCAAATGTTTTTGGAAAAAGTAAATCAATATTGAACAAATCAATTATTATAAAACATTTCCTCATTCTAAAGGAACTCACAGTCTAATAAATAGATAAGTTTGGAAAATATTATTGAAATATTACATAATGAATGAAGGTCCTAAGAGGGGAAGACCAAAATAAATATGACTTAAAGGAAAATGAGGTCACAGCCAGGTAGGAGACCACTTTTGGAGGACGTGGCCAGAGAAATGAACATTGAATGACAGGAGAATGCCAATACCTGAGAGTGTGAGTCTGGGAAGAAGAAAGCTTAGGGCATGTTTAGAGCATGTTAATTTCAAATACTATTTGGCAGAGAAGCCTAGGAGAATGGAAACAAGACTGGAAAGACAGCTTGTCACCAACTGGGGAGGGATGACTATAAATGTAAAGGCAACTGGGAGTCTACCAAGAGTTTTTGAGCAGAGAAGTGATATGATGGTCACATAATTACAGATAGGGAAGTCGAGGCCCCAGGGACAAATGTCTAGCCATGTGTTTAACAGGCAAAGAGCCATCCTCTAGGATGCCTGAGGAGGAAGCATCCTGTCTGCCTCATTTCTACAAAGATTGAAATAGATGTCATGTTCTCAAAGAAGAAACAAAGGAAAGGAGGCAGCTTGGTTACACCCTATAAGACTGCAGGTAGAACTTCAAGGAGGGCCACATTCTTCTGTCTCTGCCTCCATCAGCACATCTCAACCCAGTGAAGAGATCTGTGACTCTAGCTCCTGTCTGATTATCCAATGTCCAGCTGTCCACCAGGAACACCTCTGATGTCACAGCCGATGAATCAGGTTTTGGCATCATCCCACAACACTGAAAAGTTGGTAATGGGCGGGGGGGGGCGGGGGAAGGGGGGCGCTTCTTTTCCAAAGGAAGCTGCTATGACATTAAACTCCAGATTTGGAGGGTTCCAGAAAAGCCCATCTTTGAAATCAGTGGTGAATCAGCGGCTTTTCCACACTCCGTTAGAGCCACAACCTTTATCTTCAGGCCTTACCAGTGAACTGGGTCCAGCTGTACTGGTACAGCTGTTGAGCGCCTTCTGTGAAAAAAAGTTCACGTCTGGCTCCAGTCCCCACCCCACCCCCACCCCGGAGTCTATATTCCCCACCCCCGCTTCCCTTGTCACCCCCTCCTGTTGTTCCCAGGCGCTGAGTGGCCTGTGACATTTGCTAGGACTCTCGTGGGGCGCCCTGCCTCGGCGGCTCCGGCGATGACTCCTAGGAACTTCCCAAGGACAAGGGCTTTGCAGGCTCTGACAAGCAAGGGGGGTGGGGGATGGGAGGAAGAGGGGAGCTGGGCGTCAGGGGAGCCCAGGGTGGCGCGGGCCAAGCGCGGGCGGAGCGGGGTTCATCCCCCAGCAGCCTGAGGGGTGTCAGCCTTCCATCCCTTCAACCCTCTGTTGGCGTTGCCAGAGCCCAGAGGCGTCTAGACATCGCAGGCGCTCTCCCTGACTCACTCCGCTGCGTTTAAACTCCCTTTTTCTGGATCAACAAGGGTTTGAGGGTACAAATCCGAGCCCGCCATCTCGTTGCTTCGTCTGTCCCTAAAACCGATGTCCGTACTCAGGCCCCAAGGTGGGCCTGAGGCGACCTAAGTTGTCTAGGCTGCGCAGCGTGGGACGCAGGTCTCTTGGGTCGTGCGCGCCTCCGGGATCGTTGCGCGCTGGACAGCACCTTCCCAGAGCGCGCACCGCACCGTGCCGGCGGGCCCTGCTGCTGGAGTCTGGCATCCTCGCTGTTATGCCGACTCGAACGAAGAGTGGGACTGTGAAAGTGTCTGGGCGCTGGACTTTGTGGTTTTAAAAGTTCTTGACACCTCTAGAACGCACTAGAGGAGACCGCTCCCAAGTGACCCAAGAGTAGGAACTTCTTTCCCGAAATTGATAAGGGCGCTTTGAAACATAAGATTTTGGAGGGCGAGGCCCATCAGATCCTTTTCCATTCATTTCAACTTCTTATCGTCCCTGCCCCTAAGATTCTGGTCACTACTGCACATTTAATGTCTTCACATGGAAACTTGGTTCAAACCTCAGGCCGCACCCACCCTCCAAAGCATCCCGTTAAGTAAGCATATGAGTTTCCTCTGTTGACAGAGGGGGGGGGGAAAGCACTAGTTAAAAGCAGCCAAAGGAAATGCTTAGTGTGTACAGTATGCAGAAGCAGTGGTACCTAGTCCTTACAGTGGCTGCCGTTTTTGGGGTGTTTTTTCATGCCCAAGTATTTTCATGCTTGGGCATGAAAATGGCCCTGTAGGAGAAAGATGTGGGTATCTTTCTTAAAGCACATTCAGGCACATTATCAAGGGTTTAGGGCAAAGATCAAAGGAAAAAGGTGAGGGAAATTCCTGATGATTTTAATAATGTTAAAATTCCATAGATTTGGCTAGTCCTATTTTTTTTTTCTTTCATGTCATCAATTCAGAATTCTATAAAGGAAGCGAATGACATCAAGGAAAATCATTGGCCTAGAAGAAAAGAGCCCGTAGGCGTTTAGGTGTTATATATGTGGAGCCAGAAAGCTCTGGAGCATCAGGGAGACTCCAATTTAAGGCAACAGCATGGGTGAATATGGGTTTCTGTGCACTGGGGATGAGAGGCAAAGAGTAGTGCCTGGGCACTTGTGCTAAGGCAGGCCTTGCAGATCTAGAAGCAATTCAGTGTGGGTGGAAAGAGTTTAAGTGTGAAACTTGGGTGGAATTGGGTTTCCATTGGCTGATGCCTTATTATTTGTTCTGTCAGTTTTTTTCAGGGAGATCTTCATCTGGCAACTGTTAGGGCTCGTGCTAACCTACAATTTCACTGACTGTGACTTTGAGAAGATTAAAATAGATTATCAAGTCATTTTGAAAGATCTGAAATCATATATGAATGGGGTAAGTAAAGAAACATTTTTTTAAAAACATGTATTTTCATTAGAAGAGTAGACACACAGAAACACACACGCAAACCACAATTTTACTTTCAAGGAAAGAAAAATAATTGGGGGAAAAAACATAGCTCAGCATTTTGTCAAAATTTTTTACAAGTGATATTGAAATGCAACAGCTTCCAAAGTGACCACCTAGAAACTGACACACA